GATAACTACTATTGAAATTTTTAACAAAAAATCTATGTGTAAATAATAATAAGGCACCTATTACTACGTTTGAGCAAGCAAGTTTAGTATGCACTTTGATGAGGTATTCGGTATATAAGGCACATTTAATTTGACTTCTCAATTATTTGAAATATGGAAGTGTGTATATATTCATTTTGAGGTACATATATTAGCGATTTTTCAATTTTTCCTAGCTTATTATTACGAGGTTTACAGTCTAAATAAATTAAGACTTAAACCGAAAAATTAAAAATGTAATTTTACAGACTATCTGTTGTATTTTACCATACGAAATTAGTATAAAAAGTATTTGTATTGTAAATAAGTTCAACGAAGCTGTTGTAGAACATGATTTATCAATCAAATTTTTACAAACGAAAATATATATAATATATATAAATATTATAAAAAGTCCCTGGAATAATTACAAAGACATTAACGCGATATCTGTATCCTTGGTTGAAACATTAATTAATATTCGTAAAATGGCGAAAATATATGAGCAATACAAATTCGTGCAGTTAATACTTTTCTTTTCGTTGTACACGAGATGATCTTTGAGACAGCAGTGGGACAATAGGAATCTGTCGTTGTGTTTTATTTACAATTTTGACTGGATACGTACAAATTAGAATTGAAAATGAGATCAGGACAGATCAAAACTGACCAATTAGATCTTTCTTTAGAAAGATTCATTCACATTTCTTCCAAAGACGAACTCTTGTGCAATGTCCAGTACGTTATAATTTGTTGTGTACTTTATTTACAATGGAGAACATCAAATGTAAACATTCGAGGCATCAGTTGTCTCGAAGGTATCCTTTGAGGTTGTTGTGTTGAAAATAAATGTTGTAATTTGTCGTTTGAAGTTACCATGGATCGAAAAGAGTGAAAATACGACACCAGAAGAACAAGAAAGTGTTATAAATTTTCATAATAAGTGTAAGTCATTCATGTCGGTAAAATGTTATCCATTGTTGGTACATCGACTACCATACGAGAAATAGAGAAATGTGAGACGTAGACAAAAATAATCCGAAGAAGGATCCCCTAAAAGAATAAACGAAAAAATCGAATGACTATAATTCGGCAAACAAAAGATCATTTTCTTCATTTTAATATGATTGTATTCGACTATCAAATATTTCGAAAATATTCTCTCTTGAATTCCATTACGGTTGAGAATATCAGCCCTTCTTGTTCAGGCATTCGTCTAGAGTCTAAAGTCTTCAGGCTAGAGTCTAGAAAAACCACTCTTATTGTTTTTAACGCGGAATCAGATTTAGAAAAAGGGACTTTAAGGGCAATTATGGATTGTAGTTGCATATGCAGTGATATTTTACCAAATAGTTTATTGGAAGCCTAATTATTCGTTGAAACTTTTTACAGTTTTGATCAACTTGAATATTGACGAAGATAGAGACAAACTAAATTTACTTACAACAATTTGGTTTTCGGATTTGCATTTAAGGTAACGAGCTCTATAAGGATCACCTAGTGACTACTAAAAAACACAAAGAAAGTTTAAATTTGTTGAACAGTGTTATAGGATGCTTTTGTGCAAACAAACATTGTTATAAAGAACAAGAAATAATGTCTACATTACTGTACAAAAGGATACTACGGACAGTAAAAATAATTATATATGTACACACGTATATAATGTATATACGTACATACATACATACATACATACGTTTCAGTAACGGTTTGAATAACTTTTTTATTTTTTTTTGTGACAAATTGTTTCACTTAACTGACAGTCAGATGCCCGTATTCAATTTTCAATAATATTTAAGTCTGGGGAACGCAAGTACAGGCCATCACAAAGCGAATATATTTTCTGCAACAAAATATCTTTGAAAAATGGTATGCCATATAAACTCGAACATTATCATGTTAAAAAATTTCCTAATTTTTAACCCTTCATAATCTGTTAATTTTTCTTTCAATAAATTGTATTTCTGTCTTACCATTGTAGCCTGCACTTTAATCCGTATTAACAAACCACTACCACTCATCTGGCGTCAAATTTTTGTTTTCTTTTTCGTAGATTAGTTTTGGAAATTTGTCAAATTTTGTTATTCACATCAGTTATTAGTTTGGGGTTTCACGTGCTGTTAAACAGTTTCCAAAATAAATTGAATAAATAATAATAAATCTTGGGTGTAGCGTCATTTTGGCTTCGATACAATCATGTTTACATTATGTACTACGGAAGTAAATGAGGAAATCTCATTCTGATAGCGAATTTCTTCTTGCAGAGGCGTCATGATTACCTACGTACTATTTCTTACGGTTCACAGTTTTTGCAGTATCCTTAAGAAAATAAAGATAGCAGACACATGCTATCATTATTTACGAAAGTACATATGTCTGTTTTATTCGCGTACACTCGAGTATCTCCGTAGTTATTGAAGATGCGAAAAAATATTTCAGATCAAAGTTGTTACGAAAATATTCGTACAAGGAATCTTTGTACTATTTGACAGGTATATATGTTTTAAATGAAACGCTTTTTTTAAACTTTGTACTCTTGTCTCTTTTTCAGAAAAAGTTTTTTTTTGCGCTGTTCTGTGTAAGAAAAGTTAAGGTACTATTATTAAAAATCCATTATTTTTCGAAATATTTTACATTAAAACTTACAATAAATTCATTGGTTTCTTCCACCCTATGACATCTTGGATAACTTCCACCTAAAGACATATTGGAGGGGGACGAACCTAGGGTTTTTAAGAGGGTGTAAGAGCGTCACGAAAATAGAACGAGCAGATCGGGTAGGATGGATTCGGACTCGGGCAACTCTACTCGACTTTCAGATAAAGTCGCGTCATCGGACACATTTTCGAAACTTTGGATTTTTTCAACAAAGTGAAATAACTTAATTGTTCGGTGCACATCAGTGCGATCTGCAAGTTACAGTAATTTTGTGAATGGTCGCGAAGTCTATCGCAACAATGATAATACTTTCAATTATGTGGAAATTACTATCTCGTTTGAGCTCATGAACTCTTATATTGTAGGAGAAAGAGAATATTGTATTTGTGGAAACAATAGCTTTATTATACGACTTGCAATAAAACAATGAATCGAAATCAAATCGCACGTACGTACGATTCATTTAACACGAACGTCATTAACATATGCAAATCAATAATACAGAAAATGAATTTGGTTCAGAATATTCCAATGCCTTGAACATATATGCAAAATACACGTAAGTACACGTACAGTTACGCTGTTTATTTATTGCACATTTGTTTATCATATACATCTATTCCCACAATATAATATTACAATATAATAGAGGAATAGCGAAGGTTTACTACTGTTAAACATAAACTAAAAGCATATGCAGTAAAGATCTTTATACAAATAGAATTATTCTGTTACCATTTCGAGTCTGAACACAAAAACTAAATCTTCTTTGTTTTTGTCGCAGATTCGTTACACTGTGTCTCAATTCCGTACTACGATTTGTCATTTAGCCAACAGGTACGTGTACTTAAATTTTGTTGTACATGTACCTTGTTTCTTGGTTTGACCATTCCATGAGAAGTCGGTATTCGTTTCAAGAGATTCCTGTTGCTGGGAATACGTTTAGGTTATCTATGAAAATCAATTTAGAACGTCTTTTGTAGAGACCTTTGAAATAGTAATTCTTGCTATCGAAGTTTCTTATTTGGATTTCGACCCTTCCCTTACTCTTGATATATTTTGCAATAATGGGTTAGAAGAATAAAAATACATTTTAATATATGCTTATAA